TTCTAGGGGAGTCATAACGACTTATAGGGCGGTATCGTGTTTGGTTATCAGAGAGTTAGTTCTGAAGTCAAGAAGGTTCGGCCCATTCATTCTTTTGAACAAGATATGGAGACCTTAAGTTGAGGTTCATGATTCAGAAACGGCCTCTATGGCGTATTAGTGCTGACCTCCAGGAATTTCTGCTATATCATTGATACCTGGTCAACAAGGGTTTGCTTGATTTGGTTCACGTATCTGCCGACTCAGTACAATCGTGTGCGAGAGTCCCTCATCAGTACCTAATTCCCAGGTGAACTGGGAAGAGATCTGGGTCATCATGGGCATCGCCCGTCAAATTGAGAGCACTGAAAACATGGCTTCAAAAGTGCGCAGCTTGTTTTGAGGGTCCTGTCCGCGTCTCCACTTAGCCGAGCCTGTGCGTTAGCAAGATGGACATTGCTCGCTGCAAAGCCAAACCGATCTTTCATGAAGTCAATGGATCGTTTCAACACGTTTTGTCTATTGTGTAGAAAGTCTTCGGATTGCTGGGCGAACGAAAACGAATGGAGGGATTCCGAAGGAAAGCGATGCAGATCCTCGAGGCCGAGAGGGGATCGATCGGTTGAGAAATGTATCGATGGTGGCCGCGACGAGGCCGCACTTTGAGGTGCGATTGGGGAGATGAAGGCAGAATTTGATATTTTTGGGAGAGTTGGAGCTTGCCGGATACGTTGTAAACCCGATGGACCGAGCCCGTGCTCATGTTCGAGTAAAGTGGATCTATCAAACGGCATAAGTTTGTGAGGACATTCTTCTAGTGGGTGACAAGAGAAAGGAGAAATGTAGAGAAAAATGCGGACCTCGACACGTAGTCAAATTCCAAGGAACTAGCATCGAATGACTGTCTCTTTTGTGAATAGTCAGTATCATTTGCGGTTCGCACGGAAAGATTTTCTGTCGAATGATTTGTAGGCCCTTGTGGCAGTAGTGAGGGTGAAGGGATTTGTCGTCCCGGAGGCGACATGAGAGAACTGAGCTCGCCTGTCTCAAAAGTAGTCAGCCAAATGTCAGCCAAATGTCCGGGATTTGTTAATTCCACATGATTGACAAAGAGTTCCCTGTTGATTAGAGAAGGTCATTCAATCGGCGGTCCCTGGAATGCTTATTTGGTCCTTCTCCCCAGAGCGTCATCCCAACATTGAACGGGGCATGCCCACGGGTTCGGTAGCAAGTCGTGACTAAAGATTTGCTTCCGCTGCCCATCCACCGTAAAATAGCCTTAGCCCCGCCTAAAGCTCGCTACTACACCCCACAGCGGTAGCGGCATATGCGGGTTTCCTCTTCGACCATTCTTCCTGGGTGGAGGGGTTTATTCAATCCAATCCTCCCCGCATTGCAAGTCTCATCCACCAAACAGGAACAAACGGATCAACAACAGAACAAACTTGCACTAACCATCATCCTCAGTTGTATGCCGCCTCGATGGCCTCATGATGTCCGATTAATGAGCTACCGACGGACGCCTTCCAGATGTTGTTAATAACATTCAATGCTGGGCGTCGTGGGTCTGGGCGGCCCGCACTGACGATCAGATGTGTCCAGACGACATGCGCTTCGGTTCTTCACACGCCCTGTGTTTAGGGTGAGGGAAATCGTGCAAGAGGGTTTGCTCAGTCGCGGGTGGTATAAGGATCAAAGGACGGGATTCCGCACTGTTTACCAGGTACGGAGGGATACAAAGGGCCGACAAACGGCGGGAAGCCAAAAGAGCGATTCCACTTTGATCTTCCCCTACTTTGATTGCTGTTTTGGTAGGCGGCGGAGGTAGAGGGGTTAAATTTCCACGGCAACCATGGATTTGATGGGTTGATTGATAGGTAGTTTAAATGCTCATCAAGGAAGTACGGGAGGAATGAAGCTGAGCTACGTGGATAGCCAACTATAGAAATGAAAAGAAATGAAATGAATAAAGGGAAAAGAAAAACGGCCGTCCTCTCGAGTGTCAAATGGCGGCGTCTTTTCAAGTTGCTTGGATGTCGACCAAGAAAGAAGAAATTGGGAGTTGATACCGCAGACCGTGGGGCAAGCCGCGGAGGTTCGTTCAGCCACCAAACGAGGTAGTTAGTGGGCGGTGCTGAACCCCACGTGGCTGAGTCGGTTGGAGGAAGATACGATCGATTGTCATGCATGCTCTGATCGTCACACAACCCTGATTCCAACACAGAATCTGAAACTCTCCGATCGTTGCGGAGCCACCGCTATTGATGTGCACTTGACACCATCAGCCACGGATGAAGATGTCTTCACTATCAGGGTGATCAGCCTGGTGGTGCTTTCTGACCGTGATGCATGCACCTGATTTTCTTTCTTTCTTCCTTTCTCAAAAGGCGTCCTCTTTTGACATGCGTAGTATTGTCAAATTTACGTGTAAATGGATGGGTGGTTTCATTGATTGATCTGTGACGAGGATCAGTCGGTTCACTCATTGAACTGAATAACTAGACAATGTAGCTACCAGATGCGGAAAGGAAAGCACAACAACATTGTATCCGTCATACGAACAATAAATGGGTAACCGGTAAGGAAACATGAAAAGGTGCTAAAGATAGTTGGCGATTTAATAAAAAAGTCATGCAGGGGAATCATCTTTGGTCAACCTCTGTATGCCTGTTGAAAAGGCATTTATTATCTATATGACTTGCTGAAACAACGGGGGCGAGTGGACTAGACGTGAATTTCGAATTGCGGAATAGAATCCCTGATTGAAGGAGCTCATACCGCATATCCCCAAAGCTATACGTCTGGGAAAAGAAAAGAAAAAATCTGTTATAACTCTTTGGCTACTCCACGCAAGCTATCTAGGACAACGCCATCCTCTTCATCTCCGGCCGGTTTCCTCCTCTCATCAGCCCGGTTGTCCCCAAAAAGCGTGCCTGTGCTACGACTCTGTTCTGGGGGGACTGCCACGGATGTCACAAACCCCGAACGCTCCTTGTTATCACCCAACATCCACGAAAATGGTGACTCTGCTATGGGTGCGCGCGTTGCCGGCGCTGCTGCTGGTCGCAATGGGACCGGTTTGATGATGTCTGAGGCCTCTGAGTCTCCGTTTTTAGGCAGCTCAAGGAATGCTGAGTTATTATTTCCCCTCGGCTGGCCGCCGGGGGTGTTATTTTCTTTGCCCGCAATGACGCTGGGCACAGGTTCACTTGAACGTGCTCTGGCTGGAGCCTGTGTGGCTAATTTTTCTTCGTCGGGAATTGGGATAGTGGGGTCTTCTAGGTACACTTGCACAAATTGCAGTTTTGCCAGAGCAAGATCGATGGCCTCAATGCCGGAATTGTTTGGATGCACTTGCTTAGTATGCAACTCGTTAATGGCTTCCCCTAACATTCTAGCCAAAGTCTGGCTCCGGCTCTCAAGAGCGGAAATTCTAGAATTTAGCCTACGTATTGTAGCAAGGCTGATATGTGGCGGGCTGGGCGAGTCGTGAGGCGGGCTTTCGATGCGCCGGGGTGCGGGAGTACTTGCACTGGAGTGCATGTTTTGGATATTGCGTCTAGCTTCAACCATTGCGCCACGAACGGCTTTGGTTACGCCCCATCCCTCTGTACGGCGTTGTAGCCCTTCCGACACGTCCTGGAACAAAGAATCCAGCCGTCGTTGGTGGTTTCTTGCGGGAGAAACGCTCGGGGACGGAACTTCGCTTGGCGCACTGCTGGGTTCTCGGCTTGTAAGTTTCTTCCTTCTGCGAGGCGGAAATCGTGCGACTGCAATCTGAGTCGGTGGAATGTACTGCTTGTTTGGATCAGGTGTCTTTCCTGAATACTTCTGTATAAGTAGTGATGCGCCTTCGCAATTTGTGTTTTTTTCGAGGAAGAGACCGTCTTCTACGAAGGTTACTGGCTTGCAGGGAGTCGGCGCAGGATATCGCAGTAACAGTCCTAGAGCAGAAGAGTAATCCGCATCGAGCACTAACGGTTCTATCAGCCATAAGTATCAATGTAAGGTTTGACATGCGCATGCTTACGTTGCCACCTGATCCTGAGAAGCATCGCAACGCAAATAGCATCAATTAGTTCGAGTCTCATTTTTTCGGCAAATAGTAGATCCCATATGCTGAGCACTTCTTGGAATGAAAATTCTCGGCCAAACAGAAGACGTATCCAGCGGCTATAAAATATCAGCAATAACGAAGCGCTTTCAAGTTAACTGATACTCACGTTAAGAATATCTGTGGAAGTATCTCTGTAACTTGTAGATGATCTGCCAATTCCGGGTCAACAGCCCTGAGCACCACTTGATGGATGTGCTGGCTCCGAGCAACGATGGGCGAAATATCTGATTGGAGCCCAGGTACCTTTTTGGCCTCTTGCTCATAAAATAGCTTTCCAGTCTGCATGATAGCACAGAAGATCGTGAAGGCATCATGTTCTGTGTACTCCATATCGAGGACCTGCAGCATCAAATCGTCCGTTCTATTATGAGAGGCTGAAACATCTATGGACTTTTTATCAATTGCATCGTGTTCTACAATCCACAAAACAGGTGCTAGTAACTCATGCATGCCCTGTCGGTAGCCAAGGTCGGCATTCAATTTTGTGTATATGAACAGTATATCTAGCATCCGTGCCTTTGTCGTGGGCTCCCGAAAGAAATAGTTTTCCTGCATGCATCTTTCCACATCCTGGTATATTTCTGCCCTTATAGCTTCATCTCGTCGTAGGGTTTGCCAAGGAGACTATGGGAAAAATATGTTAGGTACAGGGCGACAGGTCACCAAGTCTTCTAAGGTCGCAAAGGGGTGCAAGCGCACCTCATCATCCTCGGCTAACGGGTCTGCTGTAGACGGCAGGTCATCTGGATGCTGTATATACTTCAGGAAGTATTCCCGTAGTGACTGGTACGCAGCTCTCGAGTCAAGTATCTGGACAGGCCAAGAAGCGGTATCGAGGTTTTGATGAAGAAGAAACGCCTGGTAATTTGTTGAGCACTAAACAGCCAAAGAAAATGCGGTTTCATGCAGGCTGAAGCTGACCTTCCAGCACACCGATCTCAAACCATCTTCGCATGGCCCCCCACCATGTTTGTCTCTCAACGCGTGCTTGAGCTCGGCTAACGAGGTTTTGCCGTTGAAAAGCGAATGCCAACGTTTCCTTCGTAACCTATTAGTAGGAGGAATGAATAAATGAAAAGGATAGGTCATACCGAGCTTCCTCCACAGTTTTCATGGCATCGTCGGACTAGCCTTTCTGCTTCCTCCTATGCTTGTGGTTCACAGGATGAGTGGTGACAAGTTCCTAGCTTGCAGTCAAATTACGTCACATCGCTTATCTCACCCAGAAATCCCCTGTTTAATTAGTTGATCATGGTTCAACCGATGGACCGTGCATACAAAATTGTATTGTGAAGTGTCGCGCACTTGGGGATTTCCTGATCCCATCTGGTGGAGTTGCAAAATGATCGTTTCCTAGTACAGGTTAGTAAACACCGGCTCTTGGCATGTTTTGCGTTTCCCTTTCGACAGTCCTCATTTTCTTGAGGAGGCTTTGTTCTGAAAATCTTGCACGGAGCCAGGACTTTCGAGTGAAGCGATGAGTGAATCTATTCAGCAGACCATCGGTGTAGCGTTAATTTAAGGGTACTACTGGTTACCATCGTGATGACGGATGCTGGCTTCGAGCTCTTCACTACCCCGGGATCGCAGACAAGTCGAGCTTGATATCTTCTTTGACTAATTTATATATCACTGCCATGTCTGCCGATCTTCTAGCTGCTTTCGGTGAGCGGAACGCTACCGGTCAATGGGACCAGTCATCCCAGAAATCGCCTCATGAGAATGATCGAGCCTCGCGATTTTTTGACCCGGACAACAACAACACGGGGTGCGGGGCCTGGGGCTCATTCTTATCTACCTCACGAGATGCCCGCGCCGCAAACAAAAGCAATAGTGAACAAGGTTTCTGTGCCCGCATGCCTACGCCAGATTTAAAGCCAGCCCAGGTAGTGTCTACTTCAAGCAAAAACCTGTGGCGGGTGGAAAGCGGCACGGATGTATTGTTTGATGCATCCACGGAAGATATAAAAAACGACGATGAAACTGATGAATGGGGAGAGTTTGAAACAGCAAATCCTCCTGAGGTGGACAGTAACAGTGGTAATGCTGATAATTTACTATCCTGGGATACTAGAAACGATACTGCTCTTAATATGGCATCTAGCGCGACAGAAAGCACAACTGCAAAATTTCACCAACAGTCGTTGCTGGATTTACTCCCCCCCAATGTTGAAACGGATGATAAAGGAGCAATCGAGGTAGCGGCGGCTGATGTTTCTCTTTGGGACAACGCATGGACAAAGTTCGAAGAAAGCAGTGGCAGTAACATCGTTCCGTCAAAGTCTGAACAATCGGACGATGATGACTGGGGGGATTTCGCAGATGCTACCTGGACTGCCAATACAACTCCGGCAATATTTCTGGAACCATCCAGACCGGACGTTGCCCTGCTCGAAACAACAACAGCAGAAGTAAACCAGCCAGTATTTATGCAACCCCCGACAACCCCCATGGTGTCCACAAAATCTAATACTTTCCAACATCGCCCTATGAATATTCCCCCTCCATCAATCCTTCTGCCTCTATTCCCGCCCCTTCTAGAACAATATTATCAGGAATCGGTCAAGTGCAAGCAAGTAGGGCCGAAAGATCCGAAGCTAGTTTCATCCCTTGAAAACGATTTGAAGGTCATGGCACGTATTCTAGCCGGACGTACACTTCGTTGGAAACGAGACACCGTGTTAAGTCAAAGCATGAAAATCGGCCCCGCAAACTCTGGAAAAGCCGGTGGAATGAAACTCAACAGCGTAAATAAAAGCGAAAATGTGAAGGAAGAGAAAGAAGCCGTCGAGGTCCTTGAAGCGTGGCAGAAGCGAAGCAGTTATCTGAATTCTTTCCTTTTGTCCGCTGGTGGACGCGCAGTACCCGTTCTGCCTAAAAACGTGCAAGTGAAGACGGGGACGGTTGAAGAGGACGGAGCTTTCAAGGCGTCACATGCTTGTGGACTATGTGGGTTGAAGCGGGATGAGAGGATTCCTAAAGTTGATGGGATCGTTCACGACAATTTCGGAGAATGGTGGATTGAGCTTTGGGGACACACGGATTGCAGGAACTTCTGGGAGGCTAATTGCGACAGACTTAATCAACGCTGAGGAATTTTGCATCACGGACAATATTTGTGTAGGGAGGGGGTTCGTGAAGGGGTTGGAGGTGATGGGTTCCTGAGGCTATATTGCTTGGTTTTGCTCGTCAATAAGTTCAATCCATCATCAGCAAAGAATGCAGTAGCGTCAGGCATCATCATACCAGAATTGGCTCTCCACCCACCTCATCTATTTACTTTATTTACGGCGATTTTAATAGTTACTTAATTTTTGTTCATTGGTTCTCTGATGAAGCGACATGTGCCACGATGTCTACATATTTAGATAAGGTGCCTGAAATTAATATAATTAATATATCAAACATCATTTCAAAACATTATGAACCTCCCATAGGGTCTGATCTTAATTAGGTTCCCACCAGAAAAATCCTGGAAAAACTGAATGGGTATCAAGATACGGCAGTATTAACTAGTTACTAGCCAAATCGTTGAAAACTAATTCATCCCGATGATGTCATTGTAGCGAGCAGGCAATCATTTCACAAGAGCGACCTACGGATGCTCGGGAGACATCAAAGCTGTCCCCATATGTCCCACGTTAGTCCTTGAATTTATCCTCACGAACTCGGAATAACATTCCTCCCCGAACTACATGTTCCAACCTTGTCCTGGGATGATCCAGTGACTTGCTCATCGATCACGGACTGGTTATAGTTAGTTCATCTAAATACGCTCACGCCCCCATCTCTCGTGGGCTTATCGCCATTGCCTAGCCCTCCTCCTTATCCTCTCTCTTCTCCACACCCTTCTTTCCCAACACCCACACTGTTTTTCTTCATCTGCTGGTCTCGTTTGACAACCCGGAAATCCATCGAAGGGAAGTTGCCTGTAGCGTCTATCTATCTATCCATCCATCCTCTGGATCGACCTGTCCCCCTCAAGTCTTCGGCCCTGCTTTTGCCCTTCGATTGGGCAAGTTCATGCCCCAGTATACCTCCCTCGGAACTACCGACAACACAAGTCGTTCTAACTCGAGCCATAAGAGGTCATCGCTGCGCCTTGCCGGAGAGTGAAATAGCGTCTTCGGGTGGTCTGTGAACACAAAAACTTGCAACTTCCTTGACAGCTTTCACCTTGATACTAAGGAATAGTAGCGGGGACCCGTTCTCTCTGAGAGGAGAATCCGCAGGGAACGGCAGCTAGAGCCAGGAAAAAAAAAAAAAAATAAATAAATAAATAAACAGAGAGAGGAGACCATTGTGTGACGTGACGAGGTCATTTAATTTCCAAAACTCTCCTCGTTCTAAATCATCTTCTCACTATACAAACGACCTCACCCCTCAAAGAGCTGGGCCTCTTCGCTTTTCATTTGAAAAACATTTTTATATCTTTACACATTTTTACTTACCTTTAACGAGAAATAGCTGCTTCTCCTAACTGCAGTTTGTTGCTTCCAGTTGATGTCAAACCTACATCCTCCTCACTGAACCCCGCCTTGAGAATCGGAATCACCATCGAGAGAAGAATATTCCTTTATTATACCCCGTGACAATTGACTTGGAGCATATCACTGGTTTCCGTTAGGCGAACAGTGGTGACAGCCCTTCGCAATGGGTCTCTCATACAACATCTACCTCACTTCCAATAAGATCTTTGGATGCAAAACCTGCAAAACCCACTTGGCTGATTACCACGATATCATAAGTCGAGTAAGCTGGCCCCTGTTTTTCACACTTTTATCAACTTACCTAGCCACCGCCCCCCCCCATCCATATACTCACTGCTATCTCGTCCTCACTTAAAGAGAAATTAACCTTACCTCTGACATTCTCTCTTCTTCCGCATAATAGAATTTTCGTGGCCAACATGGCAAAGCCTACCTCTTCAATAACGTAGTCAACATAACCCAAGCCGAGGCTGTGGAGCGGAGCATGACAACCGGCCGCCATGTTGTTCGAGACATTATGTGCCGGCAGTGCAAAGAGATCGTCGGGTGGAAGTACGATAAGGCATACGAGACCACCGAGAAATACAAAGAGGGCAAATTCATTCTGGAAGCGGAGCTGCTATGTATGGTATACTAGAATGCCTTCTGTTCGGGCCTTCGACTTGCCTCTCCTTTTTCTCTATCTTTCGTTTCATTCTGGATTCATAATTTATTCTCTCCGTTTCCGTATCATTTAGCCTCGATCATAATGGTGCAATGATCGATGGGGTTCTTTCAAATTCAGCCCTTGAAGCCCCTTGAAGCGAATTGGACCTTCTAGCAGAACTGCATAGCAATTTAGAACATAACATCATAGGGTACGGCGAAAAGGGGTGTTGGATCGGTTTTGGTTTGATATTTTTCGTCAGTTTTCTGGTTCTTTCAATTTTCCTTGTCTTCTTTTTTCCAACCCCCTTTGTTTCTCTCTCTTAATACGTCGGAACTTGTTTAAGTCTGCGAAATGGCGTTGCTATCGGATTCTGGGTTTCGGGCATTTTCCATTTATGAGTAGGGAGGGGTGGTGGATATATTTCTCTCCTTATGATTTTTGTATCTTTTTTTGGTAGTGGTTGCTCTACTCTTCTTTGCTTTTCCTTCATCTCCGCCCCCATGCTCAGCGCAGATATCAATGATTTTATTTTGTTCTCCTAATTTTCTTGTCAGTGTCTCGTTCTGCTTTCTATTTTACTCTTTTTTTTTTTTTTCAACGGCGAAGAAGGATTCAGTTTGAGTTATTATTATTCTAATTTAATTTAATTTTTTTTTTTTTTTTTTTTTTTTTTTTTTTTTTTTCCAAAATTCATTATTTTATTCTAACTCTTGTATAATTTAGGAAGCATTATTCGAAAAACTATTATTTTGGGTTTTCCCCATAGGGGTTTCAAAATCAAATTTCCCAATTTCCCCCCCCCAAACGTCAAACGGTTTTTCACATTTATGATGTTTCCGGGGGATATTTATGTATCTGCCATACCGGCCCCATGACCCTCGTCGGTTATCCCCAGTTAAAAACGCTTGCACTCTTTATGTCAAACCCGGTAGGGGGGCTGAGGGCATATAGAAAAGCATACAAAAAAGGCCCACCTTGTCTACCCCAGGTTTTGATTACCTTTCGTTTAATTTAATTTAATTTTTTTAATTTTAATTTTTTAATTTTTTTTTTTGGGCTCATTTCCAAATGGCCTTATTATTTGCTTAAATCCCCATGTTTCTTCCCCCTACCTCGATTGAATCAGGGGATCCCCCCTCCCGCAGTTAAGGGCGTTGTGACAGCCCGCAAGTGTACTATCCCCACATTTACCTCGTGTTACAATTGCCTTTGAAATATTTAACGTTCATCTGGGAGAAAGGCAATTTTAACTTTCAACTCGGTGGATTGAACTCAGTGCAAACCCAGTCTTTACATCGGAACAGATTCTTTGTCGTCTGTAATCTTAAATCCGAGACCAGTAAATTCTAATTTAAAACTTAACTATTGACATCAAATCTGATTGGTCAGGTGTTTCTTGACCTTCTTCAAATTCTCAACCATGAGTTCTTCCATGTTGTTAACATCTATTTATAGTTATGACTGTGTTATGTGGATTTTTTTTTGCACCAGTTCTTTAATCATCTTCCTCGAAGAATTCAATTTTAGCTGAAGTTTGGGTGAAAAACATTGGAATTGACATCAACTGGTACACTTTGTTCTGCAGAGTGTATGCTCGATAGACACAAGATTCAGCTCCATCTATTGAAGGACTTAAAAAAGCACGTTATATCATATCGGACTTCATTCAATATTGATGAATAATGTCTTACAACATCTTTGATGGCACACATCATAACTGTAGACATGAGATTAAAGTCTATTAGAGTCTATAATAAGAATTCAGTATTGGTAAAGCAAGAAGCTAAAAATAGCGAATGGTTGATACCAAGGAGATAAGCCAAGATGTTGCAATGTTACTGAACACACAGATATTATATCAATCTCCGAGGGTGGGGGACTATATTGCCATTGATGTCATTCTTCATCATTTCTGGGCTCACATTCAATAAGCAGATCTCAAGCATTGTGAATCTTGAACTGTATAGCTTCATAAACAGTGGTAATAGCTTACCTATTGCACCTTTCATCCACTTCTATATCGACTACAAGGTGGTCTGTAAGCTCAACGCTGCGGTTGCGTAATTCTAGCTCAATGCAATTGATTTCTCATGCTTTTTCTGAGTAGTGTAAGGGACAAGGCATCCGTTCATGCTCAATGTGTTTTCCTAGTTGCTCCCAACTGTCCTGCACAAGTATAAGTAGACTTTGGACATATGGCTCCCCGTCGCTAAGCACCAATCCAGTTAAGCCTGTAATCTGCGTGACTTGTATGGCCCCGTACATCTCAGGGTTGGTATCGAAGCAAGCAACCTCATAGAGTGTGTGTAGAGACTGCGATCATAGCCTTCACTTGCTCCACGTGGCTCATGGGGTTAAAATCTTCAAGGGATTCGGGAAGCGGCCCCATCCAAGTTTAAGAGAGCTGGGGTGCGTGCTTGTAAAAAAAAAAAAGAGGCAGACAGGGATGAACAAATTGCCAATCCATCACCCCGGCAATTTTGACTTCGGCATTTGGACCTTTAAATATGTTGCTTGTATGAAGGTCGCTATGCCACATCACAGATGCACATCTATATCGGTTCTTAGATAACAAGCAAGTCGCAATTTTGAGACAATTGTTGATAACAGAGGGTTTCATTTGAGCAGAACGATGATACTGTGAGGTCCCATAGTATTTGCCTTGCGGACGTGGAGATGGAGAAAATTTCGATATGCATGTCATTTCGCGTTTAGCAGAAGCAACCGCGTAATCTGTCGCAGACATCCCTGGAAGGAAAATCAGTCGTTGCTGCAAACATCGCTATAACTTGTTACCTCCAGCCCTCGGCCAATATCAACTTCAGATCGACCATCATCGACCTATCCGGCTCTTGGGGGTGGGATATTTGACCCACCATTAAGCATGTATCATAATGCTTGGGTGCCCTATCTTCCTTTCTTCCTTTCTGGAAATGTTTCGGGTCTAGATGCGAAAACACAAGCTACACATCTGTTCTGTTCCTTATGAACATAGTCCAGAGTCGATAATAAACAACCACCGCTCTCTAGTCTGTCTCCCCCATTTTTTATTCCACCTATTTCTGTTCTCATTGTCTCATGTTATATCGGAGTAGTAGGTCGATTTGGGCGCTCTTCCGAGAAGCCATAACGGCGCTTCTGCCTGGATTTAGAGGGATGTGGT